AGTGCGGGGATTGTTCGCGTCGCCCCTCCCTCATATGACCAAAATTATTTCGTCAACCCCCAAAGCTAAAGCGTTTGGTGAATAATGGTGAATAACAGGAGAGCGCCAAGCAATACCACTACTATAATATTGCTATCCGGTAACAAAATGTGACTTGTAATTTTCATCAATGCCCCTATCACGAGTCCATCTCGTCAGTCCCGAGCGCGGCGAAAGAGGCGTTGTCAGCGGAGTCATTCACCTCAGGACCCAAACGATTCAACGTGGCAGTGCTATGCTGTGCAAGGTCAGCTAGCTAGGAGATACCTGCTGGTCTTCCGCACAATGTGGGACGGCGTGAAAAAGCTACTTTGACCATTGCTTCTTGTTTTTATCATTATTGCTTTTATTATACTTATATGGCCCTTCGAATATTGATTGATTTGGTATATGTTTCAGTTTTGGGCCGACAACTTATACCTCGCTTCTTTCGCTCATTTTTCGAAAGCAAGATTAGAGAGATGTATTTTGTAATTCGTGGGCAAGCCCGCGAATCTCAAGCACCCTCTGGTATGATCCACTACGAGAACCAGGATGTGCTTCAGGTCACGAAGCATGACGTTCCGAATGCTGAGGTATGTTGTGCAGTTTTTTTTGATGTTTTTGAAAGAAGTCTCTTCCCATGGGAACTTTCCGTAGGTCTCGGCATTGGTTTGATTCTGCGTGCGTTTGATTTTAAAGACAGTTCGCGCGATAAAGTGGTCCGCGAAATGCCTCCGTGCATTTGGCATGTAGTCCGCATTCGCAAAGAATGTACCACTTTCGTCACTCGAAACGGCGAGATAAAGAAGCTAGAGACGCGTGATTATTGCAACCGTTGCAACCACGATTACTTTCACTCTGCAAGACAATGAATGGCTTACAAGCGGGATATCGTGCAAACATAGTGTTACCTGGAGCGTCGTAGGGCGATTTCATGCGCTCTTACGGGGAATTAGGTTGCATGTAGAATCCTGCTGACTGGGCTTGTCCTCATGATGAACTCGTCCAAAGCGCCGACCCCACTGCTGTGGGAGGTCACTTTTCAGGGTGTTCCCAAAGTTATTTTTGCACGTAATCGCGGAATAGTCTCTAACTCCACGTGATGTTGTTGAGACAGTTTTACCGGCCCCAAGGCAAGGACTTCAAGGGCTTACAACGAAGTAAATTCTTTGGGGGCCGCCACAGCACTTAAAGATAGAAGGGAATTTGAACGGTTGCTGTAAGTTGAAGTGGAGGGATCGGCTGTTCCATTAGTGTAATAGGCGCCCATGAAGATTGAGCAGGTTATAGTTTGAAATTTGTTGAAGAAATGTCAACTTGGAAAGTGTGTCGAAATCATTGAAACTGGTTAACCAGCAGTTAAAAGATTTTCCGATGTTTTAACGTAATCTTCCCGCTGATAGAGCGAATAGGCAACAGCAGCAAAATGGCGTTGAATAGGTCGGAATAGGGGGTACGATGATAATTTAGAGAGTTTTACGAACTGTTGGAAACCTGACCCGTCGAAATAAATTCTGCTTGTCCGCGTGCTCTTGTCTTTAATGTTCTATGACCCCCCCCTGGCCTCAAAAGATCCATGCTTCGAAGTATATCTAAAATTGGCTCACCAACCCAAAGTTTCCGCCCTTCCTTGAGGTCCCTTTTGGATTATGCCACTTTCGCTCGTATTATGATGCTCTATGTTGCAGTTTTGTCGGCTTGTCCGCAAATGGTACTTGGGGCAGAACCACAAAAAAATATTCCAAGCGGAAACCAAATCAGCTCAGAAGGATCACTTACACTGTAGCGTTCGCATGTATTTTCCTTACAAGATGGCTTAAATAAGAAATATTTTTCTATATTTACTTGGCTTGGATGGGAAATATTTTTCATACTGTTACTTCTTACTATAAACACTGTGGCAAACTGAGTCTCTCGCTGATGTCATATTTATTCTTTCTTGGGCATGTAAACGTGAAATATTTTTTTCACTTCAAATCATCTTGAATTACACATATGTAGTTGTTTGCTGTATAGTATGTATATGTGATCTCGTTCAATGTCTATTTTCGTTCAGGTGCAAACCAAATTCAAATTATTCATCGAATTTACGCCTTATGATGAGATTTTGAACCATCGAATTCGAACGTGGAGTATGGAATTGGAGAGCTGCCAAGAATTCTTCATGAACGAAATCACGAAGGTGGGCTGGCTACTTCGGACTTTTCAGCAGATTTTGTTTCTTTTTTCAAGAATGTTTTTATATAGTCTTTTCGAAAAGCCCGTATTTCATATCCCTCTAGCCTTGCTTCCAGGACTATCTTGTGACGTGTACAAATGAGTAGTAACCCTGTACTGAATCCTGCACTGATTTTAGTCTCAATAAGTATCCGGAAAACTCTTCCTTAGCGGAAGATCCTTCGTAGTTTTTTTTTCTAATGGCATGATCTTCATGTAATTTCTTATGATGGTTCTTTGGTGAGCCTATGAGCACTTTTGAGGTCTTTTTTTCTCGTATTCCAGTCTCTACTTTTATCCCTTTCTTTTCCTTGCTCCCTATGGATGGTTGTGGGAGTCCCTGCTGTGAAAATACTGACTAGGCCTTCTGTGCAGTTCCCGATTAATGTTCTACCACTTTTGTGTTTGTCATTTCCTTCCGCCATCAGCTTCTGGTTTAGTCACAGTCTTGAAATGTCACCTTTAAAGGCCCATTCTAAGGCCCATGTAAACGAATAACATCAAGGTACAGGTAAAATTTCGCTGCTTAAATAAAGTAGCAATGTTGAGTGAAACTTGTAGCGGTCGCGGTCCCTGACAATTTGCCAGGTTTTCTCATTGCTGCATTTCAATGCACTAGGCTACAAATGGTATTTTTTGGGGAATGTTTCATGATATCGCCGCCAGCCTTCGTTCATTTTACTGCTTTGATATTTGCCTAAGCAATCTTGTGAATAACTTTGTTAGACTGGATGCTATGTAGTCTTCTTCCCGGCGGATGATGGGGCGTGTCGAAATGGATGAGTTTGGCGCGGCGCCAGACCTGTTTTCCATATTGTAGTATTTGAAGCGAGCTAGCGACAAGACTGTAAATATTTTGTTTGTAACAACCGCTTTCCACCAACTGCTGTCGAACATCCGCTTCAAAAACTGGTTGAGAACGAGCTGGCGGGACGCCATACCCCGCCTCACTGGCGCGTCCCATCATTCGCATAAAAAAGACCGTGCGCGGACCGCTAAATGTCATGCTGTCGAAGAAAGTGCGCTCACTTCACCTTTACAATTTACTGGCATTACATAGGGTAAAATATCTTGGCTCCTAAAGGTTATTTAGTGAATCCAAAGAGTTTCACGGTTGAAAGTATGAAGAAGTGTTTATGCGGATACCCGACCAAGTAATAGCGTCCCTTCTATACCCACCACGGAACGTAGGAACGCTGAATAAAGATTTCGTTGGAGTGAAATAGCTTAAATCCTGCCCAAATAATGCTTGCTACCTGAGCAGTTATGCGACATATTCCTGACAATTATCGATTTTTCGGTTCTCACGAAAACCTTAGTGATCAGTTTCAGTTTCTGGAAAACTGGCTACAGAACTTTATTCAGAATTTTGACTTTCCATTTTTATGCTCTTATTTTGACAAGAGAAACAGCTAGTTCTTTTCTAGTATGGCAAGGCTTTTTGGTGCAGTAGTTCGTCAGATTCCCGTAATCTAAATTTTGCACAAGTGCGAAATGTCTCTAGCGCTAAACGTTACGTGCTGCGTCGTTTTTTTTATTCATTTTGAAAGCTTTTGATGCTAGAGGGTGAAGTAGCGGTAGCTGTCAAAAGATGAGGTTTCTCTCAAAATCTATGAGCGGAAGTTCCAGGGTGAGTGCAAAACGCGCATTACTGGAACAAAAACGATATTCACAGTGAGAAATAGGTTTTTTACGGGTGATGATAAAAATCTCTTGGTTGTCGTTTTAAATTCCTTGCTTACTTTTCACCAAAATGCCCCACCACACTGGAATAGCGCCAAATATTTGCTAACAAGGGTTGACAACTCAAGAGTTCATTATTTGTATTCAAGAGGTGTTGTAAAAACGCGTTCATGATCTACGATTTCCGGGTGGTATTCAATTACCTTCTCATTTCAAACGGATTAATTATCAACCTTTTTGTCCCTAATCCTTTTGTTGAGGGCTGAGGAAAAAGCAAGTGCTGGTCTCGAAACTCTGATGTAAGGTTCATTCGAGAGAATTTAAGTAATCCTGTAAATTTGGGCACTTTTTTTTGGTCTGCCCTCTGGAAACGATGCTGTTCGTCAATTTCAGAGCGCGTTCGTTCTTCGCCTTGCGATCCAGTCGCTCGAGCAATCCGATAGCGCGATTCAAGCGATCGGATCGAATCGCGGAGTATAAACGCTCCCATGATTCACTGGTTTTAGTTACAGGCGTTTGCTCTGGGAGGGTCACTCTTCATCGAGGTTATTGTATTGCAGTACGTTAGGTACTGTTCTAGGTCAAAGTAGTAGCATTTTTGGTGGATCTGCTTGTTTGCATCCTTTCACCGTCATAGCATGGCGTAACTTCGCATCGACAGATCTCGTTAAAGCTCAATGGGTGATGGTCCCGAATTTTTAGGCTGTAATTTTTTTGTGATGATGATGTGATTTATTTCTTAATTTTGTTATGATTTTGGGTTGTTTAGGAGTACGAAATCCATCATGGTGATGGTATGGAAAAGCCGTTGCCGTTGACCCGCGTGGGAATGCCGCAACAAACGATGGCGTGTCTTTCGATGAGTCGAATATTGGAGCCAATGCAATTGCTCATGAGTCAAAGTAAAACATCAGGTGTAAGTTTTTCTTTCTGTTTGTACTCGTAGTACAAACAAACAAGTAAAGAGATGAGTTAGGGCGATGTTTCTTAACTCAATTTGAAGTAGTCCATTTTTTCTTCTTATTTTGAATTCTAGTCTTTTGGTAACAGTTTGCCAGAACATTTCAATGGTCCTGAGAGAAGTTTCGCTGTTCCTGGTTGGCTGGTAGATGCCCACCAGGGCACTTTTACCATTGGGGAAAAACTACAAATACGACCCCCCCCCTCCCAACTTTCTCTGGTACGATCCCCATCATCAAAATTTCCTTTTCTCTATGTTCCATTCATTCTATCTTCATCTCTCCTACCTAAGATATTCCCATAATCTCTCTTTTACCGCCACTCTTCCGAACAGAGCACATCATTAGTTGGGGGTTTTAATCGAGTCCGTAGGAGGGAAATACAACCCCATCGCTTGCCCATCTACCTACCATTTTCTTGGATTTTTCCAACTTCCTACCAGTTTTTCCGGGATTTCCTGGAAATTTTCCTAGTTTTTCCCGTGCTGTCGAGGTGGGGAGGTGGGGGGGGGTGTATATAGTACATATCAACCAGGAAAAACCACGAAAAATCAACAGCCACTCTCAGAAGGCCAGAAGCTGAATACGACCCCCCCCTCTCGAGCAAGTATGACCCCTCCCCTTTATAGCGTCCCTGAAATGAGAAGTATCAACTGCCATACAATTTTTTTCCCAGACCAACCCCTCTCGCCAGCTACCAATTACGACCCCCTGTTGGGAAATCCCCAACGATGATAAGCCTTGCTCCCGCAGTTTTCTATACAAAAATTCTCTCCGTTTTTAACGGGCGGTAGAGAAATACAGAGCGCACTTGAAACGAGAAAATACAGAAGAAAATGACTGACTTCAGAATCAATTTTCTCAAAGGCAAACACGACCCTTTTCCCTCCAGCGAGCAAATACGACCCTCTCGCTGGGAGTCCCCAACGTACGACGCGCCCTGATTCTTACATCGGTAAATTGCCCCATTTTTTTGGCTCTCTTGGGTATCTTATTGTTGGCTCTTTTGGCCTGTCAGCATTTTTGGGAGTAAATATATGGGCCTA